TTAGAATCCATGAAAGTCTTTTTTAAAAGATTTTTGGCCTTTAGGAATTTCAAGAAAGAAAGAATCAATTTAGAATCAGATTTTAAAATGAGAGTCAAAGGAGGTGAAGTAGAACCATTTAATTCTAAGAAATCTCAGAGGTGCTCGGACTATCTTATGTTAGGTTTTATATTTTAAAAATCTAATTTTTATTTAAGTTGACATTTTCAATTGAAGGTTAATTGGGGCTTATATTCTGATGTAGGCAGGGGGGGGTCAAATCAAATCCTAATATTTGATTTTTGACTTCCTTAGCTCATTTATGTCTAGTGAAGATTAGCTCATTATGAGCTGATGTTTAGCTCTAAATTCATTATGAGGTGCAAGCTTTTAGGTGAGTGGAACTTGTCTCTTACTCTTCTTCTTTGCCTCTGAGCTCCTGCATTACTTTTCCTTCAATTGGCTGAAGGAATCGTGGCCTTTATCCCATTTAATTGATGTCTTTTTCTGTGGTGGAACCGTGGCCTTTATCCCATTTAATTAATGTCTTTTTCAAGGTGCTGGAACCGTGGCTTTCCCTTGATAATTGCCATGTCGTTTGGAGTTTCTCTGTGGATTTTAAATAAAAGTTTGTTGCTGTTGGTTTTCCTATGCTGGAAATCGAAATTTTCTGCCCTGTTTCCTGTGCTGAAACCGTGGCTTGTGCTGGCTGGTTCCGTGGCTTTATTCATTGGATTTTGGCTGTCTCTCTTGGGATTTCAGCAAGAAAAAACTTATGGCTTTTGGCTTTCCTTTTCTTCAGTTTTTGGGGACTTTTTTGGCAGGAATTCCAGGAGTTTTTTTTCTGTTTTCTATGCAGTTTTTTGTGTCTTTTAATCTTCTTCTAGGTGTCTTTTAACCTTCCATATTCCCTAATATTTGGGCTGTTTGGATGCCCTTTTTGTGCATATAAATATTGATGTTTGTGGCTGTTTTTAAGAGGTAATGTGAGTGATTTTTGGAGACAAAACCTGAGAGGTTTTCTTGGAAAAAGCTTGAGAGCTTTGTTCCATTTCTTCTTCTTCTTCTAGTGTCTTTTAACCTTCCATATTCCCTAATATTTGGGCTGTTTGGATGCCCTTTTGTGCCTATAAATATTGATGTTTGTGGCTGTTTTTAAGAGGTAATGTGAGTGATTTTTGGAGACAAAACCTGAGAGGTTTTCTTGGAAAAAGCTTGAGAGCTTTGTTCCATTTCTACTTCTTCTTCTATGGAAATCCTGCGGGCTCTTTCCACCATTCTTCTTGGCTTCTAATCTCTTTCTTCTCTCCATAGTATCCATTCCATTGTATCCTTCTTCTCAAAGTAAGCAATTTTAGGGTGTCATTTTGTTTGTGTGTCAAAGTTTGAAACGTCCAAATTGTAAGTGTCTTGTAAGAGTCGTTTGTAAGTCTTGTCTAAGTTGTAATAGTTTTTATATTATGAAGTAAAGTTATTATTTTTAGTTTATTTGTCTATTCTATGTCTTTATTTCTTTCTTAGAAAAGTATTTCTCTTTTGTGATCAAAAATTTGGGTCCCTCTCCCAAATTTTTGATTGCTTCATATTCCAATAGTATATGTTAGAAGATCTGCCAGGAAGGTGAGGACATGTATGGTGATTAGAATTAACCATTGCCTCTGACTCTAAAATTAAGGTGAGGATTATCGAGAGGTAGTGCCTCAAACCTAAGTTTAACGGAATACAAAAGGACTTTCAAACTACACCTCACATGAAGCATAGCCAGCTCGACCCTTGAATTTATTGTCCTGCCTAGAAAGGACTACCAGCTAGACCCAGCTAAACCCTTTTAAAATCATGTTTTCCGATCTCAATGCATATGAGTGGAAGGTTATTTTATTTAGAAAGTAGAGTTTATAACTTGACTTTGAGGTCAAGATGCCTATTTATGCAGGGTATGCATATGCTGTCTCAAAAAAGAAAGATTTTTTTTTTATCTCGTCCTTAAGTGAGAGCTTCTTTATATGTGATACATTTTTTCGGCTATGTATGCTCAATTTAAATTTTGAAAAACTTGGCTCCTTAAAAGGGAGCCATGCAATGTTTTTTTTTTTTTTGTTAGAAAATCATGAAACCTAAATTGATTTTTGGATTTTACATTTTAAAGGGTAGAAATCTTATTTTGTTCTAAGTGCCTACTATATCAAAAAGTCCAGGTCACCCTTAAGCAAAGCAAGAAAGAAATCTAAAAAAAAGTATGTTTTTCTATTGCACACCTAGTAAACAATCAATACATATGAGAAAATGTAAATCAACTAAAACAAAAATGTAAGTAATGTCCAAATTATTACAATTATGTTTGACAGCTCAGTTATCTGTCATTATACAACACAATCAAATTTTATTTACAGACTCTTGCTTATGGGGTATTCAAACTTTAGCTTCCAAGTAAATCTTAGGCCTTACCTTCCATAGGTACATCCGTCTGGTTCACCTCCTTTCAATCCAGACCCCCACAAGTTTGATTACATTATAATTCTATCAAATACATATTTGAAAAAAAAATTCAAGGTTGCAAAACAGAGTTAGAAGTCAGTTTATATAATAAAATATCACATCCAATATTTTATTTAGCACTTAGAGTGCCAAACATCTGCTTCAATTCTATTAGTTAGATCACTTTGGGGGGGGGGGTTTAAGTGGTACCTGTCTTGCAAATATTTTTATTAATTATGACCCCCCCCCTCCTTTGGATATGACCACCTGCAAGAAAAAAATGTATATTTCTACACTAACGACTTATGGGCAAGTGACCACAATGCAGATAATCCAATGGGCAATCACACCAAATCATCGATCACATCCGCATAAAAAGACAAATCCTAGTCATAGTATGCATAGAGGCTGTGCATCTAAGTGTGTGAGGTTTTTGTCGTATGTCACACTAAGGGTGTTTCACTTAAGAGTTTGGATCTAAGAAAAGGGTGTCCAACATGTAGTTTTTGAACTAAGTATTGAAAGATTCTCCCTAGCATTTGGAGCTAGAAGGAGAATAGATACTTCTTTTAGCTTTGAGGCTAAAGAAGAGGGAGAGAGGGTATCCACCAAATAAGTTTTGAGTCAAATGTTAGAAGATTCTTCTTAGCTTTTGGAGCTAGAAGGAGAATGGATGATTCTTTTAGCTTTGAGGCTAAAGAAGAGGGAGAGAGGGTGTCCAACACACAGGTTTTGAGCCAAGTGTTGGAAAATTCTCCCTAGCTTTTGGAGCTGAGAATATAGGAATTCAACATTTAGCTTTTGGATTAAATGTTAGAGAACTCCCTTTAGCTTTTAAAGCTAAAGAGAGGGAAAATCTCCTACAACTTGGAAGTTGGAGGAGAAATGGAGCAAACCCATACCTTTAGGCTAAGGTTGGATGGGTTCCTTAGACTTTTGGAGCCCAAAGAAATGAGGAATTACTTATAATTTTGGAACTATAAGTCAAGAAGTATTCATTGGATTTTATATCCAATGATGCATGATCATCTACCTATTTTTAGATTAAGTAAATTAGAATATTTTCTATAACCTTTGAGTTGTAGGACAGAGAGATGTAGCATGCAACTTGGAAGGTTGCAAACTAGGAACGAATTATTGAATTCCTCTTCAATGAGAGGTGATTATCTTTCTATTTTGATTAGGTAAATATGAAAAAAAACATGCAATTTAGATGTTGTACGTTGGAGAAAAGTCCTGACCTCCGTCGCCTGACGACTACAATCCTCTCGACCCCCGTCTCCTGCCGACTACGGTCCTTCCAACGACCTTCGTCGACTATGGTCCTTCCAACGACCATCGTCAATTACAGTCCTTCCGACCACTATTGCCTAACTACGGTCCTCCTGCCGACTACGGTCCTTCTGACCTCCGTCATCCACCGACTACTATCATCCTGGTCTCCGTCTCCCAATACTGTCCTCCATACCCCTGTCGCCTATCGACTACGGTCCTTCCAATGACCATCGTCGACTACGGTCTTTTCCAGACCATCATCAACTGTTGTCCTTCCGACCACCGTTATTTGATTACGATCTTTTCGACCTCCATAGCTTCACTACGGTCCTTTCGACCAAAATCATCCGACTACAGTCCTTCATAGCTGGCCTACTATGGCTTTGCCGCCCAAACGAACATATCAACGTTGATTCTTCCAACTTCTACCATACAATGCACTCTATATGATGTATATTTGCTACTTCGAGCCAAGACCTTCCTCCTAAGGAAGGACATCATTTGTAATCAATTGCAAGCACTAGTGGATTCATTCAAATTGACCTAGGCCCCACGGTTTTTCCCTCTTTTTAAGAGTTTCCACGTAAAAACTCTGGTGTCTCTTATGAATGTTATGCCCTCTCTTTTATCTACTTGTGTGTTGGATCTTCGTTTAAAGCTATGACATTAAATTTTATATTTCTCTACCGCCACGAATTTTTCAGGATGCAACAGTTTGGCGCCGCCTGTGGGAAAGATTCCTAGCTGGGGGGAAATTATGCAATTTTTTATTGCCCCTCAGATATCAACCAATTCTGCATCAATTTCACTTAAATCAGATGTAGGATGGGGGGCAACCTTGACTGCAACCGTGGTCAAGAAAATTCCTCCAAATCTTCTGACATCCACGTTAGTATCTTTGGAAACTATTTTTCATAAAGCTTGTAACAATTGCAAGGATGCTCTCATTTACCATGTTTTGCTGGCTGCTTCCTGCCACATAGCCCATCGTAATATTAGAGAGAGGGTGAGAATATTTGAAATGGATCCTTATAAACATAAAATATTTAATGTATTTGATTAACATATTGCCAAATAATTTGTACATTTCTTAAATACATATTTTTCAGCTATGATAGTATTTTTAAAATTAAACTTCCAATCAATAGTGCTAAAATAAATATGCGTCGCAAGATGGCAAGTTTAAGAAGTAGCATTTATGAGCTTCAGCTCTCCACCTTTCAAAGATAAAAATTCTACTGTCTCAAGTATCTTAATTTCTGCTGCCTCAGATTCGCTGTGTGGCATCCGACCTTGATAGAAAGCGGATTTGCGGTGGTGGACGAAATGGAGTTCTTCGGCTGTGGGATGCCACGATCAATATATAGTGGTCCATCAAATTTTAAAGCTCGGAAGCGGAGGAATACACTGGTAAATTTGTTTTCTTATTTATATATATTTTTATATTTGTGTTGAATTATTTATAGCTGTATCATTTCTCCGTTTTGTTTCTTCACTTAACATTTTCTTTCAGGGTCGCTACCCAAACCCCTTGCTGCAACGTGGCTGAAATTTTTTACTTAAAAATCTTTAAATGGAAATTTCCATTTTTAGAGGTTAATACAAACTTACTCTCTTAATATACAATTTATCAATTGTATTCAATTTATTTTATTATTTCATAAATAATTATAATATTGCCTTTGAGTTTTGACACAAGCTGAAGAGCTGAAAAATAACATGGTAGAGGGCTAATCTAATGATTTCTGGGTTGATGAAAAGAAATTGTTGTTTATTGAATTCTAGATATATGAATAATTTTATTTTCTTTTAAGTTGTTTGATTGGATTGACTTTACACGTATCCGACAGAATCGAGCGTGCATGTTAGCATAGATGATTTTTCGGGAAACTTAATAGAATACTACGAATATTGTTTTCCAGGAGAATTCTTAGTGTCCATAGACAAATGTATGGGCTAGTCAATATTTCATTTAGACATTCTTGTAAAACCTTCCCTAAAATTGTAAATCTTTCTTAGCAAAGCTTTATTTATGAATTATCAAGGTAGGGACTTACAGGCATTTATTAAAAATAGCCCGTAAAGCAAGTCTTACGACTTATATTAGTAGTAGCTTATTGATGGATCTTACAACTTAGTTCTATAGACTAAGATGCCCGATGGTTTTGATTAAGGATTTAATGTTTTATTTAGAAATTTTTCAAAGAATAGGTCTTATGCCTCCTTTTAGAAGTTGTCTGGTTATTTGGGTAGAACGTGTCTTATTACTTAATGATGACAGGAAAGGCATTTTATGTGTGGTACAGCCTTTAGGGTTTCATATTGTAAGTATTCCTGAAATTTAAAAATTATTTCCTTCATGAAAACTTTTACGTCTAGTGTGTGTTTCATTCTGAACTCCTGCGACCACAGCTTTCCCTTATGACCAATACGTACTGAAGGGCGATGATTAACATCAATCAGCAAGTAACATCAAATGAAAGCCTTTACAATCACTTAGCTTCTGTCCTAGAAGTAGAACAATCAAGTTTGTCATCCAACCTCTGACGTTCCTCATGGAGCATCATTTGATGCATACAAATATATTTCCAATGTATGGCTTCTTGAACAAACAAGTCTACCTACTTAAAAAATAAAATGATTAGTCAAATCTTCAAATATTGCTTGTCTTTTAACATTCTGAATTGACCATTGTAGAGTTGTATCAAATGATTATCTAAATTTTGTCAACCTTTGATGCTTGATTTAATCCCTGATGATCATTCCTTATCCACTTCTATACGGAGAGAGACAAAGTTGGTAAATCATTTTTAGCCCACCTCTAATATTTATTTTGATTGTCACTTAATGCATACGAAAAAGTAGTGTACGATTGATATCACTCACTGACATCTAAATGCTTACCTTTTCGATTGTCCTATATGCTCTCTTGTAAGGATTCAAGATCATGCTAATAGCCAAAGGTAGTCTAATCTCCACTGTTCCTTTACGATTGTCATCCATCTTATAAGGAGAATGATCAAACTAATCGTCAAACATAACCTGACTTATGATATTCCTCATTGATCATCACCTCACATATATCTCCAATCAACATCTTATGTCTCCACTTATAAAAAAGTCTATCCTTAGTAACATTCAACTCATACTTTTATAATAAATTTAATTTTGTTATGCGTGATATAGGGTTGTTAAAATTGGGTCACGAGTCGGGTTCGGGTTGAATCCCGAATGGACTTGTCACTAGTTGACCCTACACATTTTTGCAAACGAGTTAGGTATTTTAACCTGGACTCGACCCGCGCGGGTTATTGGGTTGACCCGACCTGACTCGCGGATATGACAGCGCCAGCAGCAGCAGCATCGTCACTCATCAGCGGGACGTGACTCACGCGAAGAGACATGTGACGTGGGTAGACGCGGTCAGCGGGTCATTCTTGGATTTTCGGGTCAACCCGAACTCAAACTGATTTTTTAAACAGGTCAGTTTATTGAACTCGAATCCAACCCGTTTCTCAAATGGGTTGATCCTAATCCGAAATTTTTGGGTCGGGTTGGATCGGGTTTTCGAGTTGTGTCAAATATTGACACAGTTAGCCCCATGTGTTTTTCTCTTCCTGAATGCCTCATTTAAAAAAATCCCATATTGTAGGATATGATCTCAAATTATGTGTATGAGTTCTTTTATAAAGTTATGATAATTTTTTTTTGTGATAATAATACTTTAGCAGGAAAATTATTATCATTCTTAGTCCTATAAGGATGTTAATTATAATATTTAGAGGAGAATAGGAGATATGTTTTAAATATTTTTTAATTTTTAAGAATTTCAGGTTAACTTTTTTTATTTTTATAACATCGTTATCTAAAAATTAAAAAAATAATAAAAAAAAAACGTGCTCCATTTTCAGGTCATGCACCCGCGCCGCGCCCGCGCCCTTGAGATTTTTTGGGCCTTCTCGCGTCCTTTCAGGCCCATTTTCGAAACTTTCATGTTGAGTCGTAATATCATTTTTATCTTTGCAAACACAGCTTGGTTCTAATGGACCCCTAATGGAACCGCCAAGTATTTCTGAGTAATTTGGAGAATGTATGGGTAACTTTTTAACTTCTTTTTACCCAAAAGATTTGTGGATATCATTGATGATGGAATGATGAACGACAAATTTTACTTGACTTAATGATTATTAAAGGGGGTCTATCTTCATGTAGAGAGTTATTTATATCTTAGAATTTCTTTATACTAATTTTATTTCTCAAAATTTTGAACATTGACTTTTGTTTATCTATTATTTTTGTCACGCTCTATAATGATCCTTCTTGCATTAGTCCTAATAGAAATAGATATGACTTAGCTCTCATAGACAACGACTAATTCGAAAAAATTTGACTAATAAAAAAATATAAATTGAACGGAAGAATATTAAAAAAACTTTATTTATTTAACCATAAAGATTTTAATTAACTTAATTTTATTGGTTGTATATGATTTTCAGCATAAAGATTTTAAAAAGATTTTTAAAAAATTTTTATTTAACCATAAAGATTTTAAGCAATTTTAATGTAAAATTTAATGTTCCATGAAATTAAATTATGCTCATAGATTAATCTAGTGATATACTTGTAATCTTTAAAATAAAATCGTTCGAGTAATAATTGATTTAAATGCATGGAAAATGTCTAATTCAAAATAAAATCTCTAATATAATATTGGACTGTGTACATGTTTCATAATGTTAGGTTAATCTATTCATATTTCTTAGTTTTATATAATAAAAAAGGTAATTTTGTCAGCTTTAGAATATGGCATGCATATGTAATTAGATTTATTGGTTACAAAAGTCATAAAGGCCATCTTTTTTTCCTCACCTATATTTGCTATCATAAAAATATTAGCTTGAGGTCTTATTTACCTTTTATATAAACTCACTTTTATCATCTTACATATAAGTATTATTCTATGAAATACATAATTTTTATTTATTTATTGAAGATTGGGATGTATTCATCATTTATTTCCACTTTTTGGAACATTAAATACATTCATCTTTCATTTTAAACAATTTAATAAATTTTATACTTTAATATAATGAATGTTTCATATATAACTTATGTGTTGGTCTAAGTTATCAAATTTATGCTCACTTATTTCAAATAAATTTGCTTTTTGCATTAAAATTGAGTATCATACTCAAATGAAGATCGACCACATGATAAACTGCCTCGTTATAATAACGTCGATGCTGCGTTATTTTTTAAACAATCTATGAAATTCATATATATATATATTATAATATTTCACAGCTTACAACTTAAATACAAAAAAAAAAAAAAACCTTTAATTAAACTTTTACCTTAAAAATTTTCTCATATGATTACCAAAGCATATCAACCTGAAATCCATGTTATTTCCTAGCAAAGAAATTGAAAAAAACAGATTATTCACATTAAACCTTTGCCACTTCCTCTTATTCCATTTCTTCATTTCTGCTTCTCCCCTTCTTCCTTGGCCCAGCTCCCACTGGAGCTCTTTGTTTCCATCAAATGCAGGTTACAGGATAGAGTATTGAAAAATTGGATAGTTCTTACGATTTTCTAATATATTAATATTAGTTTATGAAATTACTTTTTTAAAACCATAATCCATGTCCGTTGTTCATATCACCATTCACCATTGGAAAAATTATTCCATCCAGTGAAAAATACCGAGCAATACCGAGCGGGCTGTACAGAGCACTTTAGTGACGTGGCGTTTTGGTATTAGTTTCCGGATGCATTCGGTAACCTGACGGAATAATCACTCCATGCATGCATGGGAAAGTGTATAAAACCAATTTGATGTTACAGTGCATTAATGCATATACAGTAATTTTAATAAAAAAAATTGGAAAAATAATTTAGTTAAATAATGTATTAATCAAAATTTGGTTTGGTTCTCACAAATTTTTGGGGTTCTTCCTCATCTAAAAATGGATCAAAATGAATCTCGACAAAATAAAAGTGGTCTTCAAAATGCAGTCGCTCAAGAAACATGATTTGACTCATTGGGTAGTCATTCGACTTAATCACTTCATCTTGAAATTAGTTGCCATTAAGCCCTCAGCCAAGAGAAGGCCTACTACTATATCTTAGAGTTGGCAAAGATGTCTTAAACTTAGTGTTATCTAGAGAAGAAGAGCGAAGGCAATGACTCATATACTATGTGAACAAAATATTGAGGGGAGTCAAACTAGCTAAGGTATCCAATGATTGAGAAATTGGCTTGGACACTTGTAATATCAACTTGTGTACTCCGACTTTACTTATGGACCCACTCAATTAGATTGTTGTCGATTAACCTCTCAAATTTATATTTAATAATTTAGGCTATTTTTGGAGGCTACTTAAATGGGATGTCAAATTAAGTGAGTCTCAAATCTACTACATACTGCATGCAACAATCAAAGTTTGAGCATTTGCCAATTTTCTTGTGGAGTTCAATTGTCCACTTGTAGAAAAGGATGTGACAAGTAACAAAATTGAAGAATGCATGGTGGCCTTTGAAAGTTCATTAGGGATGTTAAGCCCTTATGAACTAGCCCAAGCTAACCAAGAGGGGGTGGGGGGAGGGAATTGGTATTTTAAAAAATCTTTCACGATAAAAAACAAAACTTAAACAAACCAAAATTTACTACAAAGAAATTCAACGTGTGGAAATTAAATGCGAAAAAAGTAATATAAACGAACCACATAAATTTATAGTGGTTCGGTCAACTCGACCTACGTCCACTCCCCGGAGGCACCCTCCGAGTATTGCACTAAACTCAGTGACTC